GAAAAACTTGAAAAATTTGTTTCCTTTGTGGCGGCCTTTGTACCGGTTTTTTCAGGTGTGGCCACATAAGGAATTTCCACTGATCGAAGTTGGCAAAATTGTACTCAATAGAAATCCGGACAATTATTTCGCGGAAGTAGAACAGGCTGCATTCTCCCCTTCTCGCCTTGTACCTGGCATCGAATTTTCACCCGATAAAATGCTACAAGGTTATTCCTTGAGACCAAACCTGTAATACGACAGTAATAGTATTCGGAAATACAAGCGTCGTCTTTATAGCCATTTGACAGCAAATTCATTAGTAGTGACTAAAGGTCTATGCGAGTAGTGGAAATTATCCTATAGTGGGGGATTTTTCTGTTTACGAAGCTCATACTTACGCGAAGCCAAGGGCGAATAAGTTCGATTAGATTGCCAAAATATTTCACACAGTAATTCCAATGTACTGTTTTCGAGGAGCAAAAAATTCGACAAAGAGGAGCTAACTTTACTTATCAGACGAGTATAATACAGCAGCTTAAAACCAGGGAGGGACGTCTAATTTGGATGGTTTCCTTTTCGAATCTGATATACGCTTATCTTGAGTGACTAGTCTGATAAACCAAATCTGGTCCAAAACACGTCGCTGGCCAAAAATATGCGCAACTGGCGCCGAATCAACTAGTGTGTTGAAACGCGCTTCTTGAAAATCCATTTTAAGCTGTCAAAATAAATAATCATATTTCTTTTTCCGGTTCCTTCTAGCTCCTCATGTTCTCGAGCAAGTAACTTATCCGAAAAGAACTTTTCATGGGCCTGCACGCAGGTACCACACTTACCCGCGGGCAGGGTTTGAACTCGTTAATACCCACTTAGACAGGGAACACCCCCCTAAGATTTCAGCTCTGTAGCTAGCGGACAGGGTTTGAACTCGTTAATACCCACTTAGACAGGGAACACCCTCTAAGATTTCAGCTCTGTAGCTTCTGAGAACTCCGAGTTATGAATTTATGCGGGAAAAACTTTAGGGGGCTCGTACGCGGGTACCGCGCTTACCCGGCGGCTGGATTTGAGCTCATTAGTACTTACTTGGGCGGGGAACATTCCCACAAAATTTCAGCTCTCTAGCTTTTCTGTTTCGCGAGTTATCAGCTTACCCGTGAAAAACTTTGGCGGGGTCTTACGGGGGTACCACACGAGAAAGACCGCCCATTTTGTGAATAAGGGCCCGTACGTGAATGTAGATTAAGTCCTCAAAGTTTCAGCCCCGTAGCTTTTGCCGGTCTCGAGATGAGAAATCGGTACAGAGGCCCAGCGCACACACAGACACAGACACACACACAGACAACCTCTCGTCAATATGCGTTTTTCGCATTGCACTGCTGCAAAAAACGCATACGCACACACAGACACATACACACACAGACAACCTCTCGTCAATATGCGTTTTTCGCATTGCATTGCTGCAAAAAACGCATAAAAACACACAGACAACCTCTCGTCAATATGCGTTTTTTGCATTGCATTGCTGCAAAAAACGCATAAAAAGGGAAAAACTGTAGAGAAGCTGGTTATTTCATTTGTGGAGTTAAACCATCTTTTTAGGCCGTATCTTTTCATATCATGACACTCAGGTTCATCGAATTGGACCTAATTATATGCAGTTGCCCATTAACTGTCCTTATCGAGCCCGTGTGCGGAATTACCAGCGCGATGGTTTCATGACTTCTGCAAGTCAAGGTATAGTTACGTTGATTCAGTCAAAAAAAAATTAGTCTCGAGGGACGAAAATAGTTTTCTCCAGTAAGCTGTAGGTTCATTCAAATTCACCTGTTTCTTGATTGCCCTTGTACTGCCTCCATCCGAATTATAAGTTTGGTATGAGTAGGAGGTATCCCGAATTACGATCCAAACAGCTACAATGGTCCAGTCGAGCACGCCGACTGCAAGGAAAGTGTATTTGCCGTGACTGGAGATGTGGATCGTTATGATTCGGGAGACGAGGATAATTTCACCCAACCGAGAGAACTGTGGCTTAAGGTATTTTTAAATGCAAATTTGTTTTTGTATATGAATCTTTGCACTTTTGTAGTAGAAATGATAAATTGCTGCTCCTGTTCAGGTATTTCCTCTGCTGCGACATTAATAAGCACTGACCATAAAGGAT